TTGCTAGGGACTTGCCCGGCACTTGCTCTCTACCTCTTTTTGTTATCTTACTTCTATCATTGACAGTCCCTCTAGGTTGTGGGCTGCTTGCCTGTGTTCCTGAGAAGCATCTACGGTACCAGTCTATAGAGTGTGTTTTCTTTAGTGAATTACCGGTATGTTTACCGGTAATAAACTTGCACTGTTTTATGTATATGTTTGATTACATACAGCCTTGTGACAGTTTTCCTGCATGTCATAAGCATTTGAATATAAATTAAAATGTTAAAATCAAATCTGATATTGTTTTACCTTTTATTTGGTGTGTGGAAGGTGTGCGGAAGAGGGGGTAGTCTTATACGGCGAGTATATAACAAACTCTGTATTTTGAGTGGAAATGTTAGGGGGTCGTCTTATACACCGGCAAATACGGTACTTGAAGTTACAAGTAACAGAAACCTAAGCTGGATTAAACAATAAAGGGACTTAATAGGCTTAACTTTTCAATTCTAGGTGTTAAGAGGGAGGGGAGTGAGAGGAGAGGAGGAAGTGGGGAATGGAGAGGTAGAGAGAGAGAAGGAGGGGGGAGGAGGAAGATAGAACGGGAAGGAGAGGAAGGCGGGGAGAGAAATCTCTGCACATCTCTCAGTCAGTAAGTGCAAAGGGAATGGCCTGCACTGATTAGCTCAGACCATTCAGAACTCACTTACCAGAACTGGGTATGAGGTTAGTTCCACCCAATCTACAGAGAGTGGTGCTCCACAGCAAAATGTTAGAATCGGTGACATTGGATGCTGAATGGATAACTAACTACTATAGGATTGTAGGCTATGGTTTTTAAAGTACCATAGTCCATTTTATATTTGGAAATTAAAAGGAATAAAGTCCAAAGATACTTTCAAAAAATGCATTCATGAAGGGACTACTTGTGAGTGCTTATAGCAGGGGTGGGGAACCTTTTTTCTGCCAAGGGCCTTTTGGATATAACATCATTCGAGGGCCATACAAAATTTATCAACTTAAAAATTAGCTTGTTATATTTGGTCATACATTTATTTAACTCACCCCTAATGCCTTGGGAGGGCCAGCCCAAATGATTTCTTGGACCTTATATGGTCCTCGGGCCAGATGTTCCCCACCTCTGACTTAAACAGACAGTCCTTGGGTTACGGGTTACGTTGGACTCGACATACGTCATTTCGTGGTTATTTCGCCATCTCCCATTTATTAAAAAAAAAAAAAAAAGGTCTGTCATTTCTATATATGTACATATGTGCTCTATATTTTTTATTATTTACTTACCACAAGTAAAGGTCAGGAATTGTTATCTTTCTTTTAAATATTTTTACTGTATCACTTCATTACTGCTGTGTATGTGCTCCATGTGAGTGACGTAGGTGCTTATGTAGGTGGGTTCTGACTTATGGCGAAAATCGCTTTATGTCACACTGTAGGACCAGATCTCCAATGTAACCCGAGGACCTGCTGTAGTATTGAAACCCATATTGGTGCAGAACTTGGCTTTCATTGAAACCCGTTTAGTAATAATAATTAGTTATGGGAATTACATATCACTTTAAGTTCTTTTTCCTCAGTACTCCATGCTTTTCTTGCTTCATATACTGCATATTTTTATTCTATTTGCACACATTTTTGGAAGATAGAAATGTATGGTTTTAAGTAAATAGGGATTTTATTTTTCATCTATTTTACAAAACTAACATGCAGAACAATGTAGAGGCTAATTTGTCACTTTCACTTGCTACATCAATCGAAAATGAAACAAGAGTTCTACCTCTTTGCAACTTAATAGATATCAAAGCTATGGGTATATGTAGTTATTCGTATATGTATTCGGTAATTCTTGAGTGCTTACTAGGTGCCAGAAGCAAAAAGAGAAAATAGTCCCTACCATCAAGGAACTTAAAAAGACTGTGAAAAGACAGAAATGTCAACTATCAAATGCATAAGGGCAGTAATAGAAGATTATAGAAACTTGCAATAGTGAATTGTCAGTGTCATAACTTAGTTCTAATATAATTAGAAAATAAGTCTTTTTTCATACTTGAAGTGTTTATTGATTAATTTATCAATTTGCCATATTTTTAGGCTTCTAACCTATCAGTTTTTTCAATAGAATGTTTTATTTTATAAAACAATGTATTTTTAGTTTGGTGTGTTGGGGTTTTTTTTTTAACTTAAAAAATTGCATGAGCATTGGCTTTAGAAATGATGCATAATGAAAAAGAGAAACTGTTATTTTTATAATTTAGAATGATAGCTTTTAGATAACTTGCCCTGACCTGGGCACAAAATTTCCCCAATTTTAAACATTAAAATTTTAAAGGTTGTTCGTTTGGGAGTTTTTTTTTGTTTTGTTTTAGATCAAGATTCCACTGAAGACTGTGGTGGAGGGGAGAAAAGAGAAAAAATTATTTTCATCTGCATGTTTTCATTGCTGCATAAGCTAATTATGTTATTTTCTATTATTTTTTATCTCTCAGATGCTGTAGAAAGGATTCTTTTATTACATAGAATCTTCCAGTCTTCCTAGTTCTGGGGTTCTATGACATGTTATATATAAACATGAGCTTAAGATGCTAATCATAGGCCTGATTTTCCTTACATTTGTAGTAGCTAAATGGTAACAGATTGATTATTTAGGCAGCAGTATGAAATATCAAGCAACTCAATAAAAAAATGACATTACTCTTTTTTGATAGGTTTATTATGTAGTTGAAAACTATCCTAAAATTAACCCTTAATGTTCTAGTTACTATATGTAGTCCTAACAGGGCCAAGATTAATTGAGTGTTAAGGAACTTGCAGTTTCTGATACTAAAGGCAAAATTGTCCTGATTCTCATAAACCAGCGGTTCTCAACCTGTGGATCGAGACCCCTTTGGGGGTCGAACGACCCTTTCACAGGGGTCGCCTAAGACCATCGGAAAACACATATATAATTACATATTGTTTTTGTGATTAATCACTATACTTTAATTATGTTCAATTTGTAACAATGAAATTGGGGGTCACCACAACACGAAGAACTGTATTAAAGGATCATGACATTAGGAAGGTTGAGAACCACTGTCATAAACACTAACATTTCAAATTTTTTGCATATTTGTTTATTTTTCATGAGCTCAAAATTTACTGAATTAGTAGTGTGGTAGAGTGAGGGGAGGAATTTAATCTTTTTATTTTTTTAATATTTAAGGCACTCATCAAATGCTTAGAAAATCGGGAGGTTTTCATTTTACTTACATCATCAGCGTTAATTTCAGAAACAAGTAAGGACAACTTTTTTAAAATACTGTTTTTTTGAATGTTTACTTTTATTTTATAAGGTCAGCAACCTAACTTTCCTTCTGATTTTCATCCTATATAGATTTTGGAGATGAGCAGATGGCTCTACATGGATTACATTTATTCCATTCATCCCTGTCAGCAGGTAAGGGCGCAGTGACTTCTAGTTTACTAAATCTGTCACATATTTTTCCATCCTCATAATGCTTAACCTCTCAACCCTGGTAACTAATGTAGTTTATTTCTTTCAATAACTCTTTCTTTAATCTCCCTGGTTGGTTCTTCTTTATCCCCTTTTCAGGTTTAGCCTTCCCTCTAAGCTTCACACCCAGATATCCACCTGTTTATTGACTTTTTCACTTAAGATGTCTCACATGTTCCTCAAATTCAGCATTACTCAAAACTGAATATTTGGTATTGAACAATAATAGGAGAATAATACTGTAATAACTATATGGTGAAAGATAGTAAACTTAATGGTGATTGCTTTGCAAGGTATATAAATGTTGAATCACTGTGATGTATACCTGAAACTAATATAATAATCACATGTCAACTATAATTAAAATTTAATTTAAAAATCATCTTAAAAACCTGCAACTTGGCCTGTATGGCTCAGTGGTTGAGCATCGGCCTGTGAACCAGGTCACAGTTCGATTCCAATCCAGGGCACATGCCAGGGTTGCACTCGATCCCAGTGTGGGGTGTGCAGGAAGCAGCCAATCAGTGATTCTCATCATTGATGTTTCTATCTCTCTCTCTCTCCCTCTCCCTTTCTCTCTGAAATCAATAAAAAATATATATATTTTAAAAAACTGCAATAGCGAAGAGATAATTTTTATAGTAGTCTATCAACTAAGTAGGACTCAAGGTCTGCACAGTTACAGTTCTCTGTCTGGACTACTTTTCTCCTCCCCTTTTATTGGGTGGTGTTTACCCCCATAGGGCAAAAGATATTACTCAGACAACATATAAACAGATATATTGTTTATCTGTAGTATTAAAATTTGGGGGATAATGAATAAAATCAGGTAAAGCTCTAATCTAGTCCAGTCTGTTACTCAAGTCTGTCAGGTGTCAGTTTAAATATCACTGTTGATTCCCATCATCATTCTCACCTCAGTGAGAACCCCAGGCTTATCAATTGAATTTAAATATTTGTTTGTATATGACTTAATGCCTGCCTTTCCTGTATTCTACTGTATGCCTGTGGCTTAGCAGTGCCAGGCACATAAAAAATACTGTTTGCTGAACAATAAAGTAAATGAGTCATTTGTTTTTGTCATATGAGGAAATTTTCCTTCTTATTTTATAATCACATTCTATGTGTTTAAACATAAAATTGTGTATAGCACTTATAAAGCTATAACCAATCAAAAAGTGTTTTTAAAGTTGATTTTTTTTTAATCTTTATTGTTCAGATTCTTACAGATGTCCTTCTTTTTCCCCCCGTAACTCCCCTCCACCCAGTTCCCACCTCACCCCAGGCCCTCTCCACCTCACTGTCCGCATCCATAGGTACTGCATACATGCATGTAAGATCTTTGTCCAATCTCTTCCCACACCCCTTTCCCCCCGAGAATTGTCAGTCCACTCTCTTTCCATGCCCCTGATTCTATTACATTCACCAGTTTATTCTTTCATCAGATTTTTTATTCATTTGATTTTTAGATTCACTTGTTGATAGACATGTATTCGTTGTCACTTCATTGTTCATAATTTTTTATCTTTACCTTTTTCTTCTTCCTCCTCTTCTTAAAGAATACCCTTTAGCATTTCATATCATACTGGTTTGGTAGTGATGAACTCCTTTAGCTTTTTCTTATCTGTGAAGCTCTTTATCTGACCTTCAATTCTGAATGATAGCTTTGCTGGATAGAGTAATCTTGGTTGTAGGTTCTTGCTATTCATCACTTTGTATATTTCTTGCCACTCTCTTGTGGCCTGCATGGTTTCTATTGAGAAATCAGCTGACAGTCGTATGGGTACTCCCTTGTAGGTAACTGACTGTCTTTATCTTGCTGCTTTTACGATTCTATCTTTGTC